TGGGGGGCGATTTCTCGCTTTCTGTCTCTCTGTCTCTCTCTGTCTGGCGAGTGCACGTGCCCTATAGCGAAAACCTCTCCAAAAAAAAAAAAGAAGAAAGCGAGAATTCACCCCCCAGGGGGGATGGCCACGCTGCAATCCCTTCTCCTCCATTCTCCTCTTGGGATCTTGGGCACGCACGCACACACGCCCAGTGTGAGTTCTAAGCCACCGGGTCCAGGATGCGAACCACGGTAGACTACGTGGGAGCCCAGCGACATAGCCATTACGCCAACTGCTGGTCCCCCTTAGGGAATTTTTAATACTCCAGTAGGATAGACAGATGATAAATAAGTAGAGAAATAAATATGTATAGTAATAACGAGGAGGTAACAGCTAACATGTACTAAGCACTTACTAAGTGCTAAGTGCTTACATGCGTTCTAAACAACGTGGTTTCAGTCATAGACCTGGCATTGCTTTCTCACTTTCCCTCTCTCTCTGTGCTCAAATTAAATAACAACAACAATAATGTGTTTTAATTACATACCATTATCCCCATTTTACTGGTTATTAAACAGAGCCACAGAGAAAGTGAGTAACATGGCTAACTAACACGCCTAACCACACAGTGGTTAAATCAAAGAGGAGGACAAAAAAACCAGGAAGGACTGGGCTTGGCAGGTGGCAAGGGGGTAGAGGCTCTGGATTCCCATGTGCCCAATCGTGGTTTCAGTCATAGGCCTGGCAGCTTGCTTTCTCACTTTCCCTCTCTCTCTGTGCTCAAATTAAATAACAACAACAATAATAGTACAATTAAATAAATAATTCTTGGGGAAAAAAATAAAGAAAAGAGAGCAGGGACTTAAATTCAGGCAGGCTGGCTCCAGAAACTGTATACTCCATGGAGACCCAGAGAAACTTCAGAGAGAAATGGTCAGGAAAGGTTGAAAAGCTGCGAATGCACAGAGCTGGGAGGATGGCAGTTCAGTTAGAGGCAAGAGCATGTGCGAAGCCTTCAAGGCTGGATAGATCCAGGTTAGAAGGAACTGCAAAGAAGCCAGGGTGTGTAGTGTGGAGGACGAGGGACGAGATCCTATGGAAGGCAGGCAGTGAGTGTTAGACTGCAGAGGGCCCTACGGGCTTGCAACAGACTTGGCTTTTATGCTAAGAGCAACATGAAGCGAGAAAGGCTGAGGGAGGAAGAACGTGACTGAGGCTTGCTAAGTTCAGCTTGCAGCTGCGTGGGGAACAGATGTGGGCACAAGGATGGAAGCAGACACCGGCTAACCAGCTAGAAGGCTGCTGTGGGCCGTGTGGGCGGGACATCGCCACGGCTCGCTCGAATGCCTTACAGTTTTGGTGGCAAGAAGGTGCTCGGGTTGAGATTCGTTTTGGACGTAGGGATGCGCTGGTTTTGCTGATGAGATTAGGTGTGCAGAGAGGAGCAGAAAGATCAGATTTCTCTGTGCCATCATTATATCACATAATGTGAACTATGTGAACTATGGCTCAGAAATGGACTATTTCTTTTTGTAAATAAAGTTTTACTGGCACCTACAGAATTTTTTTTAAAGATCGGATTTCTGGCATTAGTAACTGAGAGAAAGGGAAGCCCAGAAGCAGAGGAAGGACCACAAGTTCAGGTAAGAAAACGAGCATATGGTTTGGGCCCTGAGTTTGAAATGCTTGTAAGTTCTGGGCACAGAGAGGCCCACGAGAGAGCTGGACCTAGGGGTGTGGAGTTAAAGAGGCTGGGCGGGGAGGGCATGAGGTGATGCGACCCTGTTCCCATCACCAGGGGTATGGCCAAAGGAGACCAGAGTGGGGAGAGATGCGGGGACCAGGAATGTGGAGGAAACTTCAAAGGCAACAGAAAAGCAGAAGCCTGGAGGGTGTGTGGGCAGCAGTGTGGAGGGACATGGGGTGGCCGGCCAGAATTGGGGCCGCAGGACGCGGCTCCTTGAACCTGAGTGCCTTCTGATCAAAGAGCGGACCGGCAGGGATACCGACTAAGTGAACCCCAGGTAGAGCAGTGGTAACTCCTGAACTGCAAAGGGGGAGTGAAACACGGGGAGGTAGAGGAAGACAGGTGTAAGGTCAAAAGGAAGTGAGAAAACAGAGCAAGGAGGTATAGGCAGAGCCACCCCCAGGGCCCTAAGTTCGGCCCCGCCCTCTCCGACCTTGACAGCTCTCTCCACGTGGATCTTGGCGTTCCTGAGCCGGCCCATGTGGTGAGGCGTCTTGGACAATCCTCGCCAGAGGACAAGGGAACCTGCAGAAAGATGCGGCGCAACCTCAGGGAGGGATGAGGGCTCGGCCTAGGCTCTCAGCCCAGGGTCTTTCTGCCTGAAGCCCACGCCTCTTCCTTTCCTCCGCTTTCCATCCGGACGCCCACCCTCTGGTGCTCTTCTCCCGACCCTGTTCCCACCACCCCAGTCTGCAGGCCAGGGCGGGCGCGCGCTCTGGGCCTCACCGTCCGACGGCGGGGGATCATCCAGTGCCTGGGCGGGCCGGGGATCGAGGGGGCGGGGGTCCGCAGTGCCCTGGGCATGGGTGCCTTGGTCGAGCTTCTCGGAGGCACCGCGTAGGCGGCGCGCAGAGGCGGAGCAGGTGGCCCGACATTTGCCGCCTGCGCGAACCTCCTCGGGCCGGGCGGAAGCGTGC